GCTACATTTGATATATCATCAGAAGATTCACGCCAAATTAAGCAGTCACAGAGCTTACGCTATCTACGATAGTGTTTTCCGCAATATGTATGCTGTCAGTGCGACACATATGATCGCATGCAGGGACAGATAGTTTTCTATACAAGGTAGAGAATAGTCTGTATCATATCGCCTACTGATGTTGGGTAACCGATTGGAAATATGGATAAAATTTGAGCTTTTAACCACCAGTATTTGTGTTTGTACACCTTGTGTTAACACCTTTAACACCCCGAAGTAAAAAGAATTATTCAATCAATACCGAGGTTAATAGAAAGTCGGATGTAGGATTTACCAATATTTGTCTTTCGTTCTATGTAGAGTGATTACAGGTATTATGGCGCTCACCTCTCGCGTGTGCTCTCTACGATCAGATTTAGCTGAGATCGTATATGAAGGCATCGATGAGGGTGTGAGTAGACACAAACAGAGTGCTCAGTTCCTCTATGAGAACAGAAACTGGGGTAAGCCGTCGTACAGTGTTTTATTGAGAAAGTGGTTGCTCGTCTACTAGTTTTTAGATTTCTAAGCAAGGATTCACCAGAAGATCAAAATTGCTTCATGGGCATAATTTTTGACTAGTTCTTGTATTGGCGTTTATACAATCTCGGATCTTCGTTAATAGAAGGAAACTCATTGTAGCAATAAATTATCCAGCAAAATAGTAGCTAAAAAAGAATGATGAGATCTCATTAGAGCAGAGTTTTTTCAGTAGTTATGGTTTATCATTTGCTCAAACTTGCAGTACTAGGACCGAATTCCGCGACAGAGATCGGCTTGTTTAAAAGGCATGCATTTCTTGCTCTAAGCTTTTAGTTCTCTTATTATTCGATAAGTCTGTTTGTGCGCAGATGGTCACCGTTTAATCGTGTTTCACAACTCTTTCCCATTTTGGGCGTCCACTTTTTAGAAATGGCTTTTACCATATCCAACAGCTGTGAAAGTTCGAGGCGTGGCCGAATAGAAAGCTGTAATGGAGGAGATGATAATGGATGAAATAAGGATACTGAACTAAAGTTAAACCTCGAGTAGCCTCAACTCCATCAAGTGTATTTAATTTTACACCAAAAAGACTAAGCAGTTCAGGAACTGGTAGTCATTTGGGCTTCAAAGGCCTGAGATGCTTTGAACGCTTTTTCCGTTTCAGGAGGCTGGTGGTTTATCTCCTTCAACAGAAGCATTGTGGGAAATGGACTCAACTCGTGCAAGAAGAAGATTGAAAACATTATAGCATCTCTGGAAAAAGCCATAGGAAAGAAATCTTGTTCAAGTCGATTAAAATGTCTACTTCTATGCCATGATCTACTGATGTTTCTTTTTGTTGATAACGCTTGTTGGAATTGCTGAGCATTCCACTTGGGCTCGGACGAAGCTGGAAGAAACAGCAAGAAATTGGAATAAAACTCAGAAGGTAACATGGATACTAATACCTTATCAAAGTGAGCTTCTGGTAGTGCTGAGAAGCGGAAAATGAGGATGGTGTACTCCGCCTCTATTATCATATTTTTGAGTTCTGTTATTTACGAGGGAGAATTACCTCATAGTTGCGACATTATAAAATCGTAAAACAAGTACTTTATAATAATTTCGTGTCGATTTTTCTACTTTTTATCCTATGACTTCTCGTACATGCTGGTATCATTTAAGCTGATGAAGTCCAGTGCGTGAATTTCACGAGTTCAACCAAAGCCGCGACAGTACGACCAACACTGGAAAAGTTGTGATAGAAATCTGACAAAAAATAGGTAAAAAAATTTTTTGAAGGTAGTGTTACATAGAGATGCATGTTGCACAGTGGCTAAAGAAGCCTTGTTATATACACGTACTGGTTGATTCGATCACGAGCTCTGGGCTTATAATCCTTCCATTTCCGCGAAGAAGGAAAGTTGCTACAAGATCCGTTTGGGAGGATAGTTCCATTGACTTGTTACATCGATGTGCCCCGTAATTCATAGTTTAGGACAAAAATGCATTGAAACACCTCTACGATCCTACGAATAGAGTTCGTTGCGTATCCTTCACCGACCGATCAATGCCGAGAGCTTAATCCTCCATGGCGTTACTATTTCTTATAATAATCACTTTTGAGTTTCATCTTTAACTAAATGGTATTGAAAAACTTCTGGGCCAACATACTGCACTTTCATTGGTCCTTAAGCTATGGGCGATGTAGCAACTTTTGAAGCGATTTACAGTAAGTGAGCCTGAGCGAAGGATATCAATCAATAAATAGGGAGGCAGTGTTGAAGTATTTAATTCTTCGTCGAACTTATTGGTATGTTCATCTTCCACTATGATTTATGATCTAACCTGGCTGAAAGGATGATGTTGCTCATTACTGGAAGAGGAAATGCGATTTATAGAGGATGATATCTCTGCAACATTCCAATGGTTTACCGCCTCATCGTGGCAAGGAGGTGTTCCTGGGTCGGACTGCGATCTATGTACAGCGGGGGATTCATTTCCAGGCAGGGTATCCTGAAGGAGTGTGGCCATTCCATCAAGAAGTCTAGCTAAGAGTAAACTAGTATTAGGATCCACCATTGTCCCGTTATCAAAGTCACATGGTGGCAAATCTCCCTCTGATCCACAAGGGCTGCAACTGCCTATGGTGGTGAAGATCTGGGTCAGGCTTTGGCCAGGCTCAATTCCAGAAAACTACAATGGCTTAACCAGCAATCTCCGAAGAGTGGATATTCAAGTATTCAAGAATTCAAGATGTCTATACAACAGAGTTTCCCAGGCTCAGAAGAGGTCTCACATTGTCATCCGAAATACATGCGTGGACAAAACTCATACCGCACAAGAACCCGGCGAATTTCCAACGCCCATATTTTTCTTAGCAGTCGTGAAAAATGGTATTAGGACAAAAATGTGATGCTGGTTGTATCTCTCAACCAAGTGGATGTCACTGACCTTTCCTGTTAAGCGATGGGAGAGAGCATCGTTTAATGGTGTCTGTTCCAGTTCATCGTTGATTAAAGGAAATTCACAGGAGGCAGGTGATATTTTTAAAGAGCTATTGGATGTAAACCATACCTATGGTCGAAAGTGTCCATGACGACGTTGAAGACTTGTCCTGCATGCGTGGATCCACGTTACACCACTGCAACGACGTTACTATTACTACTGCTATTATTGTTATTTTTAGCGCTATTATCACTATTACTCAGCAAAAATCTTAGTAATTTCAGTTTTTTTCAAATTCTTTTTCGAATAAATCCGAGGTGTTAATCATGTTATAGAGTTACAGTCAGGAAAAGCATTAAAGTTAAGAGTATCTGTTCGATATTACGAGGAATTTAGACCGACTGCCACTTCGGAAATCGACGAATAACTGTTGTTTCACAGGCTTTCAAAAACATGAGCAAAGGACTATGGAGTAACAATGACCAGTAAGGCAAGTACCTTAGTGGTGCCGTGGGTAACATGTGAGCCCCCGGAAAGGGTAATCGTAATTTATTCTAGCTTCGAGTCCACGTTTTGCAATATCCTAGCATAATAATGACCAGTCAGTTTAAAGTATGTAGGCCTACCTTCTCCATTGATTCATCAGGCTTTGTAGAAGCGGCGAAATCTCTGAAGATGTCCAATTTGCAATATGCTGAGTCTCCACAACCGTCAACAAAAGGAGTAATAGGATAGAGAGTGTCGCTTTCTTCGTCCTTGTGGTACATCAGCTAAGTAGATTGATCAGTCATTTTTTTGTTTCAAATTTTTTCGTCATAAAATTTTGACTTCTGGATGGTACATTTAATTCTGTCTGACTAAACTGATCAAAATTTTCGGGTTTGATTACAAATTCAAGCTCGGTTTTAGAGTCTTCACCGCGACAAAGCAGTGTTTTCTGCTCAAGGAGAAACATTAGCTTAATGGTTTTCTTATTTCTGGATATTCAGCTGAGCTTCACTCAAGTTTGAACTCTATGAGTAAACCATTTACGACAAAGTGCAGAATCAAAAGACATTAGAAAATGTGGTTTAATAATTAAGGCTGGATTGGGAGGTGTAGCACCCTGGTTAGAGATGTGCTACAGTACAGAGAACTTTTGGTTCAACAAGGCACTGTTGGCGTACCAACCACAAATCGCAACCCTCCGGGATTGGATAAATTGCCTGGGAGGATAAAAAACATTAGCTTGACAAGTTGTCCCTTACGCGCTCGTTTTCGCATAGGCCAAATGTGTGCTCAATTGTCTCTACGACACCACGAATGGAGGAAAAACTCTATTGGAATTACAAGATCAACAGCTTCTCGAAAAACTCACTGCTTTTTACCTCACTTCCAGTGAGAAAGATTAGAACAGCTGATTATAGCCGCATATGGTTGATGAGTGCCCCACTCCATATCAGAAATAGATGCGAAGGGCTCAAAAAGCAAGATAAAGTACCCACTAGGCACGCATAGGATACGAAAGCATAGCGAAGAAGATTTTGATTTAAAAGTCGTTATCATCTCACAGGAGACTAAAACACCAATGCGCAAACTTCTTGACGCTTTTTGGATAAATGCCAAGAACTCTACAATGAATAGCAAAGAGGAATGCCCAGAGGTCACACGCTATCTGGCCCGTATCTCCGCATTAAATTCTGGTGTGGGGTGGTACAGTCATCAACCATATGCAACTATATTCAATTGTTCTAATCTTTCTCATTGGAAGTCACGTAAAAAGCGATGAGCTTTTCGAGAAACTGTTGATTATGTGATTGCCACAGGGTTTTTCGTCTTTTCGTATGTTTTATTGAAGCGTTTGACGTAGTAAGTTACATATCATTATACTCGTCCAGACTCTGAAGAAGGCGATACTGCCGAAACGTCACCTACTACAAATGGAATCGAATTCTTGTCACGCCCCTATAGGATAGATCAATACATAGCAATTTATCATTTCTCATTTCAATTTAGTAGTCTCTAAAGTCAACCATATTACGTGAAACATGATCAAAGTGAGTTGAACATATTCATAATTTTACTTTGAAATACGGCTGGTTGTCGGTTTGATTCATCCATAACTCGATAAACACAGCTGACGTATACGGTGGATAGCCGCCAGAACGAATAACTTTCTTCGCAATACCCAGTGCTGATAGAAGTGCATAGACGGTGGTGTCATGCTGAAAATATACAAGAATGAAGCAAAAATAACGCAATCTTCACTATGGTTCAGAGAATTAGATTGAAGAAGAGCTTCTGATGGATTGTAATCAGTTAGTAGCTGGAAAAATTTTGTGGACTACCGATAAGACTAGGGCTCATGTAGCGCAGTGGTCAGAGGCACCCTACAACACACGTGGAATTGATCCCCGCGCCAGTGGCCCACCAAGCTTTCCATCCCTCTGGGGTCGGCGAATTGCTACCAGACTTGTCTGGGAGGGTAGCAGCACTGGTTCGATACATTTGGTAAGCCACCGCGAGTTATTATAAAGCCTGAATATGCATTCAATCTCCTTCAAACGATGTTTAGTGAAGTCGAATGTATGGCGCATCTCTCATGGATTGATCAACGCTGAAAGCGTTGTCCTTTTTTTATCCGATAAGACTAGTGTTAACTTTTAAACCGGGAATTTTGTCAGCGACTATGTGGCGACATCAGTGACCACTATTTACTTTGCAAAAATTATACAAAAGCAAGCGCGAACAAAAGAATACAAGGAGAACGTTGTATAATCGCCATTGTCGTTGTTATCGCAGACGACCTCATACTGGAAATATCCACAGGCTGCACCTGTTGCTAAATATAGCTGAACGAACCGTATATCAGCAGGAATAAGACTGCTTGGTTTTTTTTGGAGTTGTACTATCGCTACTCAAGAAGAAAAGAAAAACACACCGCCGAATATACAAAGTACTTCAGAGGCTTGACCCAGTTGCACTTAGTACTAACAAGGTTCATACAGTCGAGTTTCGTATTCATACGTCCACTGATATCGTTGATCAACGAACCACCTCGGATCTTCCTCATTTCCAGGCCAATATCGAGGTTATTTATCATTACAGTCTCATCTGAAGAACGAGAAAGATTGCCTTATGAAAATAATATTGCTGTGCTCTTAGATAACTGATAGAAGAAACCAATGCCGATGTAACAATAAGTTAATGTAGGCCACAACTTACCGTAAAGTTTTGCGGTTTCATCTTAGTCAATTAATGCTGTCGTTCATTCGCCACCCATGGCGTGGCGTTTATTCTTCAGCAGAGCTAATCAAACAAAGGACACCAACACTTTTCTTCGGAAACCCTGCTATGACAAAACTTATGTTAAACTTGTGCTGAGAACCTCTGCTGCTCTTCAAACAGAAGAACTCCGTGACGTTCTGTCACTGGTCGTCGAGCGACCGGATCCTATTGAGCTACTTTGATAAGAACTGCGAGTAAATGGTGTATACCGGCAGCCATTCGAGTTCTTCGATAGTTAACTGGATAACAGGCTAGACGTGATGAGGTGTTGGTGAAATTGAGAGGAACGGAGAAAATACCTGCTTCATATATAATTTCATTCAGAGAGAGTATCACAATGGAAATCGAGTGAGGGAGTTCAGGTAACCATGAGTCCAAGAAAAAACATAATCTAGAATTTCTAATTTCCTGCTTCATTTTCAGTTCATTCTTGTTTTTGCGGAGCTGTGGTCGGAGGTGCCCTACAACACACACGTGGATTTGATCCCCGAGTCCATGGCTCACCAAACCTTCCATCCCTTCGGGGTCGGCAAATTGGTACCAGACCTGTCTGGGAGGAGAGCAACACTGGCTGGACATATCGGTAGGCCTCTGCCAGTCATTGTAAAGGCCAGATATGCATTCATTCATGTCCAAACGATACTTAATGAAGTCGAATGCATGGCGCATCCCTCAGGGATTGCTTAACGATGGCAGCATTATATTTTTTTATCCTTGTTCTAAGTATTGAAACGTATCTTCACTGGCCTTGGTTTTCTGTTCAAAAAAAACCTTACTGCGGAAGTGAAAATTAGTTATCAGTACAGGTTACGAAATACCATCGTATCATCACTCTTACATTTTTGATGGCGAACACCAAGATTTACTGTGTTAAAATCCACTAGCCAGTTAATCTCCAGATTAAGGCCTACTCTGTCTAGAAAACTCACCAAACACGCCGTTTTCGTAGCCTACAATCTCATTGACCACATCAACAATCTTGTTGTAGAGATCGTCTGTAAACCATGTATTGTTTTCCCGCAACGTCGCGTTCTTGTAAATTTGCTGTAATCGATAGTTGTTTAGTGAGGAAACAATTAAACAATGACTTTCTAAAAGACCGAATTTCTTTTAATCTCTGCGTGAGTAATCAGCACGTTATTGTATTCATTGGCTTACACAAGCTTGTTACCAAATACCCCGGATTTATTTTAACCTCTGCGTAACTAATCAATGTGTTATTGTTTTCATGGGCTTACACTGGTTCGTATGTGTAGCACAGTGTTTGGAGGCGCCCTGGAGCAAACACGTGGAATCGAACTCTGACCTATGACCCACCAAGCCTTCCATCCCTCTGAGGTCGGCAAATTGGTACCAGACTTGTGTGGAAGGATAGCAACACCGGCTAGATACATCGGCAGGGCACCGCGAGTCATTGTAAACGCCAGATGTGCATTCAATCACCTCCAACGATGCTTGGTGAAGTCGAATGCATGGCGCATCTCTCAGGGATTGATCAACGCCGAGAGCTTTACCCTTTATTCTTGGGATGTCAAAAAGTAAACTGCCTTAGAAATTCATATCAACACATTGTGATGAGAAGACTATATTACAAATTCGTAAGAGGAATGAGCTTAAATAAACCATACTTTTAGATTCTTACAAATATATAGGAAAATGCTTTCTAGGTCATTTTAAGTTTATATGGTAAGCAAAAAGATTGAGACAAATGGCCAAATGAATCTGTTCACCTATTAAATAGCTGAACTAATTTGTAACGCATGTCAACCAGCTGCACTCTGCGATGCCTCGGTTATGGCTGTTGACACGGTCGGAAAGGTTGGCAGCCACGAAGCATCACAAGCATCGTGGAATGCTATCGTGAAGGAATACGACAAATGGAAGTTCGTACAATTCGTGAATATGGTCAAATGGGTACTCAGGTGAATGCTATGGTGTTGCAGAGGAACGTACCTCAATAAACAACGTGTCATGAACTGTCCACAAATTCTCGATATCGATGGTTTTTCCGCAGAACCGCGTCAGCTTATTAAATAAATCCACAACCTAAAAATAAACGTCTGTCCTAGTCTTCGTTCGAAACACCTCGTTAGAAAAAAAGCCACTTAGTCAAAAGCAACTTTGTTTCTTACTGACATCCGGTCTTTTCAGAAATGTTTGTAGTTCGCGGGAATTTTTCGCCATATTGTACAGAATTGGCATTCGATTGCATTTTGCTTCAGGATTTCCAACCTTTAAACAGAAGAAAGTTGTTCATTGGAATGATACTGTATCCATTATAAAGCTAAAGCACAAACTTAACTGAAAATTGTCTTAAATACTACACTAAACTGCTTCCCAATCGATCTGCTTTTATTAACGGTCCATCTTATGCTAAAGATAACCGACAGCTTCTTATCTGTAATGTTTGGGAGCGTCTAATATGACAGACAACACCTTGGACATTTTGACTCGCTTCTCATCTGTTTAGTTTCTTTTTGGTCTGTCTTCACAAGTTGCATCCCGTACTTTCCATTTAATTCAGCCAAAACATCGTCTACGGTGAGGGTCCATTTCCAAAGTGGTACCATCTGCGGGTACTGTTCAGTGGTCGTTCACGGGTACAATTAGAACATGTTCACGTGGAGTATACTCAAGTACACCAAAGACAAATGTGCTCCTCTTAGAGAATGTTGTATGTTTTTTGAGTCCATTCCATCGACCGCTAGTTCGACCCACCGCCTGTTTTTCCTATTAATTGACCGGTCGTTCATCCATGCTTCGCCTTTAGTGCATATTCCAGCGCTTAACATGTCTAGTTGTTTAGCGCTTTAACTCCAAGAACCAGCTTTAAAACTAGTTCTTTGTGCGTCGGCTTTACTGTAGAAGTGGTCATTCAAGCGGATGCAGTGAATGAGATTTTCGACGTGGTTAAAACGTCAATAAAGGGGCAATTAGAGAACGAAATTCAAATGACAAAAGATGGAACCATTTCAACGAAAGCTATTGACTTGTTTGCGTATTTTACTCTACACAAACATTATTTTACTTTTCGTAGGATTATGAATGGAAAGAAAGGCGCATGTGAGGCAGTGTTCGCAGGCGCCCTGCAACATACACATGGGATGGATCCCCGCCCCCATGACCCACCGAGCCCTCTGGGGTCGACAAATTGGTACCAAAGTTGTCTGGGAAGATAGCAGCACTTGCTTGATATATCGGTAGGCCACCAAGAGTTACTGTAAAGGCCAGATATGCATTCAGTCACCTCCAAGGATACTCAGTGAAGTCGAATGCATGGCACAGCCCTCAGGAATTGATCAACGCCGAGAGCTTTATCCTTTTTTATTTTTTTATGCTGGGCCCGCGCAACCAATGAGGACGGGCCATTCAAGATATATATATATACATATACATATACATAAAATGGGTGTGTAGCGCAGTCTTCGAAGGCACCCTTCATTGAACATGCGCTCGATCCTGCGCGTCAGGTTCATCAAGCCTCCATCTCTCCGAGCTGCGCGAATTGTAACCATGCTTGGCAGCAGGACCCACTTGATACATCGGTGGGCTACCGCGAATCTGCATTCAATCATATCTAAGAATGCTTAATGTAGTTGAACTCCTGGTGCGTACCTCAGGGATTAATGAACGCCGAGAGCACCCTGTATTGCTTTTATTTGTATTTTATTCGTTACTTCGTATCATCGACATACTATTCGTCTTAAATACATTAATTCTTTACTTATAGAGCAATTTTGAAGTTTTTGACATAAAGTTAGTCTATTTACGTGGTTATATTCGAACGAAGTCCTTGTTCTCGTAGTGCTTTTGGAATTGGTGAAAACAACAAAAAATTAATTTAAAAATCTTCTCGCCTCCACCTATTCGTTGCCGAAAGGCTAGATGTCGAATAGACGTTTTCAAAAACTTGTTTTCTTGCTTTAAATCTTGTCCCCATCAACTTCGAATCCATTGAGTAAAGCGCTAATCAATTATCAGTACGTTCCTGGGGAGTAACAGCAGCTACTTAAAGGTTCTATTGCTTTGATGCGACTTTAGTCTTGTGGAATTTTGAACTCGCTATGAGCTGTGGCACTCGCCATCTGGGACTAACGAATAGGTGTGGGTCGCGTGTCCACATTTTTCCATAATGTATCCCCAGTTCCCGCAATCAAATGAGCAAGATTTCAAACATGTGAACAAGATTTTAAAAAATCAAGAGACGCAAAATGAGTGCCATACGTGGTTAGTGTTAAAATCTATGGTGTGTACAGGAATTGGTACATAGCCGGCCGGCCAACCGATCTGATCCGGGTAGTCGACTCCAGCCTGACTGGAGCCATCGTGTTGACCGTACATACCCAGCATATTTGACATCGCCGAAACAATTGTCCTATTCACATCTGTCGATAGAACGTATATCTAAAAGCAATTTTAAAAATTTATTACGCTCTTTCTGGTAGATGTCAATAGCTCATCGAAGGAAAGATTTCAGAAACCTCTTTCGATGAATACTTCTTGCTTAAAAAGCCGGTCTCAACATAGAATTCTCGAAGGAGTTTTCCAAATTTCAAATGCTGTGCCATTCCCAGCTGAAAACTACAGTTTATGCGTCCATTATAAAACGACTGCCTTACACTAGTATGGTTTTCTCGTTGTTATATAAACGAGGTGCATGTAGCGCACCGGCTAGAAGTGTCCCAAAATACACACGTTGTGATTGTTTCAATCCCTGCACCAGGTTAACGCTGCCCACCACTGTTGTGGTCCGCTGGTACCAGACTTCTCTGGGAAAATAAGGATACTGAACTCTTCTGTTTTTCTTCAATGACCAAGCACGAGGTTGCTATTACGGGATTTATTAGCACACAATAGCTGACGCTTCGGCGATTTCGCCTTCTTCATTGCCGTTTTATTCGTAGTATTTATTCTAGCTAATTACTCGAGAAAAGCGGCATAAAGTATTACATGGGAAAAGAATGTGAATACCAATCTCGTGTTTTTTCATTGAACAAAAACTGTGAATTATCAATCAGTGCCGAGGTTAACAGAAAGTCGGTCTTGGGAATTGCTACATGAAGTGCCAACTGAAATGATCGGTCGACAGGAACCCACAAGTGCTTGGACAAGCTATGTCTGAATTCGGTCAGCTCCAATGTATGAAGGGAATCGAATGCATGTCATTCCACTAACAGAATGGTCAACACGTACGCTTGCAATTTATTTTGTCTTTACAGAAATAAGTATAGTCGGCAGAGTGTTCTTACCGGTGTAAGTTGTCCTATTCCTCCTCCACCAAGTTCCCAATCATCTTCTTGAATTGGATCAGTCGGACAGATTTGCAGAGGCAAACGGTCACCGTGACGCCACACCTGTCATTTCATTGTCACATTCTCTTAAGCACCTTTATTTCTCAAATTTTAATGTTTTTTCGTCTAAAATGCAAAAGGAAAATGTAAAGTGTCTGTTTTCACATGTATTTTTTCTTTGCTAAGCTTACACGAGGTTGATTACAATTTGAGAGTGAAATATTTGTTTTAAGCTTTCTTCCCAGCAATTGTTTTTTCATGGCAGGGTACGATATGAAATACAACCACAAGGAACTGAATGCTGCTTGTGTTTAACTAGGTTAAATCCCGACATACATTCCCCAGATCATTCCTGCTGACAGTAGATTGATAAACAGCAAGGTAAGAGTCTCAGTTGGTGTGGTGGGTAGCTGATGAATCCTAAGTAAGATTAGATACGGGTTCTAAGCCTACCTGGGGTTTAGAGTTTTGTTAATAACTTAGCACTATTGAAGTCGAATAATTTGCTCTAAATCTAAAAGACGCTTTAAAACGCCTACTCCATGCACGAGCAGCAATTCCATTTCGCCATCGGTCAAAGTCGCCACAGCAGTTGTCATTGGTATCAGCAGAATTAGGATTGATATGTTCATTTTTCTTGCAGTGTAATACGACTCAGATGGCTGGAAAACAAAATATTGTGTTGTCAAAAGTTATAGAAAAGATTTCTGAGAGAGTTTTGCAGAGAAGTGGAGTAAGGAGTGAGCAGAAGCAACTCATTGTGATAATAAAACTGTCGTTGACGAGATACAAATGTATGCATTGGTCACATAAGAGTCGCGCAAATATCGAACTGATTGACCATCGTATTGCTTAAAATTATCATATACTTGTTTTACTCTTTTTCTCGATTATTCCCATACAAGGGTTTCTGAGCTAATTAGGCCAAACTACGTAGCTCGTCTACAGATAAGACGACGTGGTCGCTCTGAGAGGCATGTGGACTTAAGAGATCAACTCTTTCTCTTTTGACAATCATCGTTTCATGTGATTTCGGCACGCCTACATAAGAACAGAGCTAAGGTCGGCTGAAGAAGCGCATGCCCACGCTGGGAGTTCTCAGCTGGTTAATCATGTTAAGAAATGCAATAATCTTCGCGTCATTCGAATAAAAGCAGGATGCTGAACAAACTAGATAAGTGTCGACAATTAATTTAAAAATTAGTGTGTCTGTTAGAGTCCACAAAAAATTTTTAGAGGGTGAAATGATTTTACATAACTGATTTGTAACTAATTCATCGACACCAAAGTGAATACATGACATTTTTATTGTGGTAGTCGTCGACTCGTCCACCGATCATGGATTGATTTGAACAGCTTACTATATTGTAAAGACGCTTAGTCAAAAACAACCCCTTATAGCTATTACGGATTTGCAAACAAAATGGGACTTCCATATCACATTGGTTAAAATTCGAGATTTCTAAAAGGGGACAAATGTTTTGGCACGGATCAATCCTTCTAGAATATATCATGCATTCGATTTATTAGCCATCGTTAGAGGTGATTTAATGCATGTCTATTCTACACAATGCAGTGGCCAAAAAGTAACCGAGTAGGTGTTTTTGCTTTCCAGGAAAACCTAGTGCCAACGACCCCAGAGGGATTGGGACTAGGCTAGCTTAGCGTGCGAGAAAGCCAGCGACCGACTCATTCTGTAGAACGGTACACTTGTAACCGCTGCGCTACGCGCTCCTCAGAACTACATTTTGATGCTAATATAGTTGGAAATCTTAGATTTGGGCCTCAACTTTTAAATGTTTTTAATAGAAAGAAAAAACTTTAGGGAGGAGTGCCTTGTGATTACACCTGACTTACCAGGGCGAGGCTCACTTTTTAACCTGAATCAGGCACATCCCTACCCATTTAGGATTTTGTGCGGCGCTTTTGAAATAACTGGAGGGCATTTTAAAAATAATGGTGAGTTACTACACTCTTTATTTACAAAAGCCAACGTTTCAGCGGATTTCACCTTCTTTGGCACTTGGAAAGGTCAACTTGACTTCAATCCAATAAGCTAAATACATCATAGTTTCAGAAAAAGACCACGGGACCAATATTTCAGTCGAATAGGAAAAGAAGTGGCATATCTGCGCCCTTACCGAGTCTTCAACTGAGTGTTCTACGTGGAGGAAGGCCGCATGGAGCTCACATGGGTTGGTAATGCGCTTCCTTCACCTCGAAATATCAGCCTCAAATGTTGTGTGAGATCTCGTTTGATAGCGCAAAATTCCGCCTGGCAGTTCAATTTTGGATTTTTGGAATTTATGCAGTAAGCTTGGAAGGCTTTACGTGCTGAAATTTTCACTTCTGGCACAAGGTCTGCTTCAAAATCTTTCCTGTTATATCTGTATCCTAAGCGCAACCAATGAAATATTTGGTTCAACTTTAGGTTTACTGACTAGGTGTTCTTTTACGAGGACGCTCAGCAGTCTCCTTATTCCGCCAATATATTCTCCTCCGCACGCTTTACAAGACATTAAAAAACCCTGCCCGAACTTAGAGGAGCGTGTAGAGCAGTGGTCAGAGGCGCCTTGCAATACACGTGGGATCGATTCTGGCCTACAAGGCTCACCAAGCCTTCCATCCAACTGGAGTCGGAAAATTGGTACCTGACGATAACAGCACTAGCTCGACGCATCGGTAGGTCACTGCGAGTCATCTTAGAGGTTAGATACGCAGTCAGTTACCTCCAACGATACTTCATGAAGTCGAATGCATGGCGCATCCGTTGAGAACTGGTCAAAGCCAAGACCTTTACCCTTTACCATTGTTATAGTGGTGCTGTGCATTTTGCATAGACGGTCGTACAAACGCCTGAGAACTAGCTGGTGTCTTAGAGTGTTTAGCGTGTTTGGTAGTGCATGAATCATCCTTCTCGAGTTCTCCAAGCCCACCCTTTTTTAGAAATGTCTTATGGCCTTGCTTATTTCATTAGAATTGAAAGGCGGAGTAGAGTGGATCTTATTTTCAGTAAACGTTCAGGAGCTTTATTCTTTCTCTAAACTTCTGCTGAGAACGTACAGTTTCGTAGCAATAGGAAATGGGTATCTGCTGCACCAGTTTCAAGAATTCTTCATGAGCGCATATGAGAAACACGTTTCGAACAGTTACCAGTGCGTGAACAAGAAAAAAAAACAGGCAAGAACATAATGGAAAAGGTTTTGAAGCATAAGTTACCATCCTCGCACAGGAATCGAAAACTTCAGTGCGCAAAACTCTTGGAACATTCCGAACAAATTGCGAGAATCCAAAAGTTAACCGCAGAAAGAAGTGCCGCATTATGCCGCGTTATCTCACACAACATCTCGGAATGATATTTTAGCCTGAGGGAGGCGCGCTACCTATTTTTGTGACCTCTGTGCTGTTGGCCTCCAAGTGCAATACTCGGTGGAAGTTTCATAGAAAGTGGTAAATATACGATGGGGCTACTTTGTTTTCAATGGATTTGAAATATTGGTTTCGTGGTTTTTCTGTTAGGGTTATGCATATATTCAACTGATTTGATTACGGTTAAGTTGACCTTTCGAGAATTCGAATAAGGCGAAATCTCCCGTTACATTAGCACCAGTGAATGAAGTATATGGTAACAACCCTGTGTATGCTAGGAATTTAGTAGGAGTTTTAGGAAAGAATAAAGTAGGAATTTTAGAAAAAAAGTAAATTCTACAGTCCTTCAGCTGAGGAATTCTTCGTCCGCGTTCCTAAATACTCCACGCTCTCAAAAAGCTTTTCATTACCAAGGTCCTCGACGGTTTGGTAGCCACCGAAGTGAGTAAACGTAGTGCGGTACAGTTACTCCAAAGCTATGAATAATCACTGTGAGAAGTCCGGTGGAAGTAGAATTTCGAATCTCTGCTTTTTTTCGACATTTCTAGTATTTTCTTTACCATGTGTGATTAAACGACCGAATAATCCTCACTTAATTGATGAAAATACCGATCACTGAGGTTGCAGTACTTAATGGTCCAGTTGTTTTCTTAATGACACTTCAATATCTTATAGAAAGTAGGTACATCCCATCTACCGAAAAAGAAAAAACCCATCACAACTTTCCTCATTTTTCTTGGTTTTATCTTATCATCTATGACGTTGCCTTGCCTTTGCGCTAAAACTGGTCAGATTTCGATTCTCAAAGCTCCAAAAAATTCCCAGCTGTGACCTTCGGAGATAGCTTTCCTTGTAAACCGGTTATGTTCACTTACCTAATAAATTAATTTTTTCACATGATCCGGCTTCATGTATTGTGTGGACTAAATTCGTTTTCTCTCATCCATCGTTGAAGAAGGTCAAACACATCTATGCATCCGACTGCTGCTATAGGATCTTGGTCTTTCTCATGAACGTCCTAGAATGCTGGCCTAGTCGATTCTCTCGGTAGTCCTCGGACAGCCATCGTTGGTAATCCCGAAGTCTTTATCACAGGAAGTCGTGAGATTTTGTGGATTGAAATGAGCTCTTTCATGATAAGTGTGTATCAATTTTTCAACCGTAGCAGAAGTGGTTGGTCTTATGCGCACTTAAGTCGACTTGAATAAAGGCATAAAAATTCGATTCAGAGGAGAAAGTTCACAAAATACGCCACACAAAAAACGACAGTGCAAAAAAATGGGGGACCTTGTGAAATCTTTCATATAGAACTCGTAAACAATAACACTATGCGAACGATTTTGAAATGAACATCGTAGATACTGACTTGTCGCATGCTTTATGCTTCTATACGGTTTCATGAAAATTGCAGAAAATTTTAAAGGTCTATTTATAAGAAGGAAAAACCGATTACTGTAAGTAACGTCACAAACTGTAAATTCGTCACCAATACGATCAGTGACCGATATCGATGGTAAAAAAGATGGAAACGAGAACAAAAGGTCATACTTCTAATGTTTAACGGAGTGAGGCTCAGCAGATTGAACGTTATGAAGCATGAGATAAAGGTAAAATATGTTGAGAGGTTAGCATTTTCTATTTTGTTGTAGCAGCACAAAATCACATAGGCTTTGTTCCTTCGATGATCAGCACGATGTGATAGATGATCCGCAATGTAGTAGAGAATGATGGCCGATATTTGACTTCCGAATATAGCTTACCAGAAGCTAATGATATCTGTGAAATTTAAGGAATATGTTGCTGTATTACTTCTATTTTCAAAGCTAATTTCAGTCCTACATTGAAGCTTTCTATATCCTTCGTGGAATGGTGGTAAAATGGTAGACAAAACCTGATAGTCCCGGTGTTCTAGGTCTAAATAGCGATGCGCTAGACTAAGTCTCGAAACGCTAGGTGAATGCGAATCCGAATAAGTACAAGTAAACGTTTTCTTCATCTGCAGAGTGACTTTTAAAGAGTGCAGAGGAATCAAGAAAGGATGTCGACCTATTTGTTAACGTTGGTTACTGGTTTATTTCACGACTAAGTAGGCAGTTGTGTCGGATTTTGGCTCCGCCTTCAGTCATGTTTGGAAAAAAACTACCAAGCTAGGTAATATTGTGGTTACACAGTGCATTGAAAATAACATCATTGGTCTAACAATGGTTCCAAATAGAACTTTTGAATTGATGCAGCTATGCGTACAATCTATAAAGTCTCTCAAACTGATATAGCAGAACAACACTAACACGTCCTAATTTACTTTTCTCTTGCTCACAAAGTGCGAGTGTGGCGCAGTGGTTGGAGGCGCCAATGCGACACACACGCACATGGAATCGATCCCTGTACCCATGGTCCACCAAGCCTTCCATCCCTTCGAGATCGTCAAACTGGTGCCAGACTTGTCTTCTCTGGGAGGATAGCAGCATTGGCTCGATACATCGGTAGGCTTCCGCGAGTCATTCATTGGAAGGGCCAGATATGCATTCAATCACCTCCAACGATACCTAGTGAAATCGAATGCATGGCGCATCCCTCAAGGATTGATCAACGCCGAAAGTTTCACTTTTTTTTTACTTCTTTTCAATAGAAGGTTCTTTTCTCTGAGGTTTCGTTGGGTTCGACGAAACTGAAAACGTCAGATTGGCGCACGCGATCTGCTGAGTTAAATGCTTTCATAAGAAATGAAGAAAAATCCCAATGTCTAAATTTTAACCGCAGTATAAGCAGCTTCTTTAAATACTCACAGTTTCGTCTTTGATAAGTTTTCGGCCGTTCTTGGAGACCAGCTGCACAAAATCTTAAATGAGTGAGGAATATGCTTATCTGAGGTAAAAGAAATTGGGTTAGGGTACGGAATGAGGGCAAGCGTGGTAACCAGGCATCACACTCTGCTATTAATATTTGGGTTTTTGTAATTTGTCTAAAACTTCCGAAGAGTTTAACGTGCAAGGACCTTATATTTTCGTGCACCCATAATGACCCTTATTCCAAGATGTTCTCCTTTATGTCTTTGTGCTCTGTACGTACCTAGTGGCGTCCTAGATTTTAAGCTTCTAACTTAGTGCTCTTCTCCAGCGGAGCTGTCTACTTGTTCACCAACGTATTCTTCCCCACACACTTTATAGTGTGCTGTACGCGAATTCATGCTGACACCATCTCTACATTATTAAATTCAGTAATTCGGTAATCTTCGTCGTACGTAGACAGTCATAAAATGATGAATCTGAATAAAATAAAGGAAATATTAAGATATTATCGGGCAGGTTAATGCGTGGGGTTGCACGTGCCTGCTGAGGGCAATCGAGCTGTACCAACTTGTTGTGAGTTGTTGTACTGTTGATTGCAATATAGAAGGCTTATTTCCACCTTTTTAAAGTCACACCCACATTTTTTGCATTTTGAAAAAAGAAGCCTCAGTCGGGCTGAAAAATTGAGGAGTCAAGACAGAGCACCGAGCCGATTTGGACAAAAGTGGCTACCTTTTCTTTCTTCTAGAATGGTACATCGTCTAGAACCAGAATGTTATTTATGACTACTTAACTGACTAAGAATTACGAACAACTTTCGAGAAAAACAATGAAACAAGTCCACGAGCCTAAAATCGAAAAGCGGCCCACTTGTCGAAGATGAACCAGCGCGACAGTTTGTGTGAAAGCTTTCAGCATTTGGCTTATGTGAAGGAAAGTTAAGGAAGACAATTGATGTGTTCTTTCTTGACTTTTGAAATAGTGCTTAAGTGGTTATATATACGATTTTCGGTGGTAATCCTTTCTTCTTCAGCAAACTCGTAATTTTTGCCAGCTGTCTACTGTTTTGCTTTGAACACCTTCTAGAGCACTGGGTGACACATTTGTTGTCGACGTAAGGAATCGTAAGGTGATTTTTTTGTATAACTAGTGGAGAAAAAAGACGAAGCTTGACGAATTGATTTGGTGATGGTGGTTGATGAAAAAATTGATCGTTGTAGGAATGTAGAACATCCTTAACTGATTTCTTCTTTCGTGGGAAGATTATCTTGCTATAACACGACGTGCGGAAGTATTGACGATACAGGGTTTAGATCCAAATAGCTTTAGATCTTTACTGGACTGGATCATGACAGTAAAGTTCTTTTTAATGTTTAGCCAAAGATTTCGGAAAGGATGTTGGACAGGACCTTTTGCTGAAATAACTGTGATTCAGTTAAATAAAAACCGAACATTTAATCCTTTTACAAGGTGTTTTGTAGGTTATCAAAAGCATCCACAACCTTTGGTTTTTATTGTTTTCTGCTTAATGTGATTCAAGAGTTAAACACCAACCCCAAGAACGGGTGCCTTTCTTGTACACATGGTGCTTAGGATACAATTGATATCCTGTTCATTTCCATGCGTCACCGAGGTCTAGAGAATGTCATATTTCCTCAAAGAATTAATAAACG